GTTTTATTTAAAAGTGGAAAAAATTCTGCAAAGAAAAAATTATTTGTCTTTCAAACCCTTTTATTTATTAATGACTTTTCATGTGACATTTGACCTTTAACTCGTGATGGTTATAAAAGCTGTCAGATTACACAAATTCAGATTTTTCTACATTTTGTGCAGAATTCATAAAATATTTTAACTTTGAGTACCTTATATACAATTAGTTTTTGAGCACAGATTATATAGTGACATGTTTTGTTTGAGGATTTGTGAAGTGGGTTTTAATGATGTTTAGCTTCTTAGAAGTTTGTGTAAGAGAAAGAATTCTTTCGAACACAAGTTGAACGTAGGTTATGTCGAAAAGTTAATTCTTTTTAAGAAGCAGTTAAATTTCAAATTGACAATTTAATATTATTTCATAACACAAACAATTGCATTTAACTTTATGTGTTATTTAAATTCACATTAAACAAAACATGCCACTGGGTTGATCTTTTTCTTTTCACTATTTTTGTGAATCTCTTTAATACAGATTAAAATTTTTGTTATAAAAAGAAGCACTTTATAAAATCCAGTTGATTGTATTTTAATTACTTACTTGGGTAGTTTTTTTAATGTTTAGACTTTGTTAGTGATTGTTTTATTAAAGATTCAGTGAATGTTTGACTTAGTTGAATTGAAGAAATAAAATGATTCTCAGATTAGTTTTTGTTACATCAAAAATATACAGTTTTTTTAATTTTTATCATGTTCTTTTTTATGTTTGCCCAGTTAAGATTTACTCAGAATCAAAACTCATCCCTGAGGAATAATCTTGAGGAGAAGAATCAGAAGGTAGAGGATTTGGTAGAGAGGTTGAAGGAATTGCAGGATTCACACAACCAGTCTGATGAAAACTTTCAAGCAGAAATTAGAGCCCAGACAAAACTGGTTGAACTTTACAAGGTATGGCTGGTTACATAAACCTTCTTTTACAAAACTGGTTGAACTTTACAAGGTATGGCTGGTTACATAAACCTTCTTTTACAAAACTGGTTGAACATTACAAGGTGTGGCTGGTTACATAAACCTTCTTTTACAAAACTGGTTGAACATTATAAGGTGTGGCTGGTTACATAAACCTTCTTTTACAAAACTGGTTGAACATTACAAGGTGTGGCTGGTTACATAAACCTTCTTTTACAAAACTGGTTGAACATTACAAGGTGTGGCTGGCTACATCACATATGTGACATTGTTTATAATGGTCTTTTTTTGGTTGTGTTTATGTAAATGTTCAAGTCATTTGGGTTAATGTATTACTTGCTATTTAAGTTTTTTATTTAGAATGGAACCACACGTGTACACCTTGATCCTACACGTGTTTTTTATTGATGAATAATATGTATAATGTGGTGAAAGAATTTTATCTTTGGTTGTTAATTATGATTTTTATGATATAATTAACAAGTTGTTGTGAATAGATCTTGATGAGCTTGTATAATATTGCATTAGCACTCATATTTTATTTAGTAATAACAAAATTGAGCCATATTTGTCAGATAAAACAGAATAATTCAACGTTTTTCAAGATTTTGAATATAGTGAAATCTAAACATAATAGAAATATATCTGTGTATTTAACTATTTCTTTTTAATAACGTTATCCAAGGTTTTTGCTTGGATTATACTTTACATTATAACCATCATTTTTTTCTTTTGATTCTTCTGGCCCGGCATGGCCAGGTGGATAAGGCGCTCAACTCGCAATCTGAGGGTCGCGGGTTCGAATCCCCGTCCCACCAAACATGCTCGCCCTTTCAGCCGTGGGGGCGTTATAATGTGACGGTCCATCCCACTATTCGTTGGTAAAAAAGTAGCCCAAGAGTTGGCGGTGGGTGGTGATGACTAGTTGCCTTCCTTCTAGTCTTACACTGCTAAATTAGGGACGGCTAGCGCAGATAGCCCTCGTGTAGCTTTGTGCGAAATTCAAAAACAAACAAACAAACAAACCTTTGATTCTGAATGGCAGAATCTATTGTCACTTCTTTTCTGAAATGAATACTCACCTTCTCACACAGAATAGCTTCTTTCTTCTTGAGTTCGTGCGATCTGCTAAAGAGACTCGCAAGTCACTAGCTTTGTGAAAACTCCCTCCTAATCTCATGTGAAACCACTTGAACCTACGCTACTGTCTAATAACTTATTCCTGTAGCAGAACTCTCCACCAATAGGAATGAAACACACCTCCGTGCTCAGTGACTCCCTTTACATTCACACTTGTGAATTCTCGTGAACAGGTGTGTGACTTTTTCAACTTTCACTTGATTGAGTTTTAACATACTTGTATGAATTCACATGTGAACTCTTCTACTCATTCCTCAACCTGAACAAAATACCAGACCTTTGCGGGAAGTTCATTATCTGTGGAAGACGTGATGGCCGTTGTCCAGTGTCTGGTGGGGTCCATGATACAGTCCATTCTACTCACTTCCCTTCCCCTTCTTTTGAGTGTGAAATTAAGGATGATGAATTTGAGCACCTTTTTCCAACTCTAGATTCTGCTTTGAGATCATCCTTACCTACTGAAAAACACACTCAGTCTTTCTCAGATTTTTAAAACCTTATTACTTTGGTTTGGACAGTTCTTACTCTCTTTCCCACATCCTTTTACTTTTACCATTCTTTATTACACAACCTTCCCCCTCGGAATTCCTTTGTTTTTCCCTGACATAGTAGGACAAGCCAATTTATTTGTAGATCAACTTTGTTTCTTCAACCTTATGCTTTGCCCCATTTGCCTGTCTGATTCTCATATTCTTGCACTCATATGTTCACTCACACTTCACACTCCTTGACACCCAGTCTTTGGAGTCACTCTTGCCAGTTTGGGGGATGGATTCAATATCAGCTGTTTCCCTATCTATGTACAATTTACCAGACTTTGAGCCTTTCTTCTCTACCCTCCTTACCTTTTTTTCCTTCACATTATCATGGAAGTACTTCATTGTTTCCTTAATGACTTCTCTGAGGACTCTAGAGTGCTTCTTTTCTCTACAATGACCCTTTACACCTCCTCTGCACTTTCTCTTCTAACTTGGTTCTACTTTCTCATGTGTGTTTCCCTTACTCCAAGTCCTTCATTTTGCCACCTTTCTTCATCTGGAGGTTTTCAGTGGTATCACTGATCCCCTTGAATCATGAGCTGAAGCTGCCTGCCATTGATATTCCCTTACTTCCTTAGTTTCCTGTTTGTTACTACTTCACCCCTTCACTCCTCTCCCTTGCCCTTTTCCTGCTCCTTGTGTTCCAAACATCCACCTCTCCATGTCCTACTTCCCTCAGATATCTCATATGCTGACCTAATTGCTAGTGACCATCCGGTTAGTTTGAGACCTGTAGGAGCCCATGTGCCTCGGTTTGCAGACCTATGAGCACATTTCTCTGCCAACAAATGAGTTGTACAAGTTTTTTCTATGGACTTTCTAACTGTCCCCCCCTTCTTTTCCAACCTGTTGTCTTTCGAAACCTATCCGATCCTGCTTATATCAACTGTCTGGAGGAGGCTGTGTTGAATTTGTTGGAGAAACAGGCCATGAAGAGGGTTCACAATCTCTTTTTGGGTTAATACTTCTTTCTCTTTGGTGTCCTCAGAAATACCAGGGATTAGTATTATCGACGTTTCCTTCATTTTCCTCCCTTCTTCTCTACTGGAGGGTTTTGTTTGGTGATTAGACTGTTCCAACACCACCTCCAGCATTGCTTTACCTCTTCCAAAACCGCACCTTCACATCCTCATGGGTGCTTCTCTCTCTGGATGGGCAGCATCTCTGAACAACTGTCTGACTTTGGGTTGCTACTTATCAATGCTGTTGTACTACTCACTGTCTGTCAGGCAGGCTTTCATTTCCTTCCCTCCTTTTTTTTTTTTATCAAAGGATGATTTCTGACAATTCTACAGTCATGTCTCATATCATCTGCCAAGGGGACACCTATTCCACATTGTAGTATAAAAAACAAAACAAATAACATTCCACTTCAGCAGCTGGCACGAGGCCTATAGAGACTGATGGTAGAGTTGAGGTGATAACACTCTATGCACCAGGGATGTATCACTCGAATATCCTACTACAGCAGGCAAGGGGCCCATAGTGATTGATGGTATCCATACTGACTTGGTTCTATAATTTCTGATGGTAGAAGAGGTGAGCACAGATACTTATCACAAGTGCTTTTTTCCCACAGCTTGTTTTGACTCATTGAGTCTGATGGTGGAGGAGGTGAGCAAACAAGGTATAGTCTGAACAAGCTCCAACCTTACTATACATATTGGCTATCTGACAGCTTGTGCGCAAGTACTCATATGGTCATGTACCTACTCAGTACATACTTGTACTGTTGTTTATGGCTCTTCTGCTTCTTCTGTACTCATACATGGATGAAGTGTAAACCTTGAAGAGAAGAGATGCCGTTTTCCAAGGGTGACCCCTATGCAGCCCTTGCGATTGGGTGTAAACCTTGAAGAGAAGAGATGCCGTTTCCCAAGGGTGACCCCTGTGCAGCCCTTGCGATTGGGTGTAAACCTTGAAGAGAAGAGATGCCGTTTTCCAAGGGTGACCCCTATGCAGCCCTTGCGATTGGGTGTCACATCTTATAGGCTTCCTTACAATGCTTTCTGAATGGAGCTCATCTAGGTAATCTGTGCATTGGCCCCTCTACCACCTCAACATGGGATTTTAGCTATTGTCTTTGTGGAGATGAGCATTTGTGATGGAAGTTACAAAAGTTATGCCTTTTTTTACCTCAAAATGTATTTCCAATAGATAATTACCTCTCACATATTCCCACCCATCCTCTTCACTTTTCCACTGCACATTTTTTTTATTGCCTCATCAAAGAATTAGGATTCACAAGTGCGAATGTAGAGGGAGTCATTGAGCATGGAGGTGTGTCACACTCCTTTTGATGGAGGGTTCTGCTGAATGATTACTTCATCACACAGTGGTTCAAATTCATGTGGTTTCACATAAGGTTGGAGATTTCACAAAGCTGGTGGCTTGCAAATCTCTTTGGCAGATTGCACAAACTCAAGAGGAAAGAAGTTATTCCGTGTGAAGAGGTGAGTATCTACCAGAAAAACATTTTCAGATAAGGAAAATGTTAACTTTCATGATATCTCAAACACCATTATTTTTTTTTCCAGCAATCTTATGAAGACAGTCAGCAGAAAAATCAGGAACTTCTTCATACAATTGAAGAGATGCACAAGATGTTAAGAGAAGTTGGGGAAAATCATTCTCAGCTGGAACAAAAACTTTCAGAAAATGAAACAAAGTGGGAAGGAATCGTGCATGAGAAGGAACTGGAAGTGCATAGCTTGAAGAAAGAACTAGAACATGCTAACGATCTTCTGAAGAAACCAAAGGGTATAAATCTTAAATATATCGATTTGTTTTATCCTCATACAACATTATCTGCTACATGTATATATTTCTCTATGTTTTTCTTTGTTGATAAACCTATTGATGGTTATATTTTATAGATTTATAATTGCCAGGACAAAACATTTATTTGATTTAATAAAGCAAAGTCACATTTTTATGTTTTTGGAAGTGAAACTTACACGATAAATCTCATTCTGTATATTTTGAAAAGCATTCAAATAGAAAAAAAAACTTTATATTCTATGGATATTTTATTTCGGTTATGTTTACAGTTTCAAAGTATACAGAAGTTTATATTGTTTAAGGAAATGATCACCCACTCTGAAATTTTAATGTATGCATTTGCTTGCAACCAATAGCAGTTAAGTTTTACAAATATTTTTATTTACTTGCTAAAATGTGTATCTAATGAATATTTCAATTTAAACATCAAGTTTGAATATAAGAAATTCTCTGATGTTAGTGCCTCTCATGCCAATATTTACATCTTTCTGTATGTAATAGAGATTTCAATGTGTTATTAACTCTTTCTGTACATGTTATAAGTTTTTTCTGATATTAGTGCCTATCGTACCAGTATTTATGTCTTTCTGTACTTATTAGAGAGCTCAGTGTGTTAACTTTTTCTCAGGTGTAAGTGAAGAAGGCATTGAAAAGATGTTTCCTATGGCAGCAGCCACCAGTAAGATCTTACGAACAGGGATGACGTTGACCCAGGTTTACTCAGAGTTTGTCAGAGCCGAGGAGGAGCTACAGAAGGAAAAGAGTGAAAAACAACAGCTACATGAACAGCTACAACAGATTTTAGGAGTAGGTTTTACTTTTTTGGGTAGGAATATATAATTGTTTTGGAGGGGAAGTGTGGGTAATTGTTATATAGGTTCTAAAAGTGGTTTCAATTCAGTATTTCTAAATCAATGTTGAAGTTATTTAAGTGCTAACTTTTTTTTGTAATTCTACTTTGGGATTTTAACATTTTATAATTGTTTTTCATATGTAAAGTCCTGTTCTTCTCACAGTATATATACTGGCTGTATTTCACTAAAGTTGTATCAATGGCTGATGATTGTAAAATTTATATTTTACACATTTTAATTTCTGAGATTAATAAAGATATCATGCGGCCATATTTAAAAGCAAAAACTGAAATTTGTAACATCATGTTACCCTGTTATTTAGCCCTAAAAGTCCTTGCTTTATTTTTACATGCACTAAAATTCACAGGGGGTGGGTCCCATGGTTACCAAAATATCCATTAAGTAAATAAAAAGTAATTTAATGTTAAAATATGAAATGTATAGAGTTGCATCAAAGTGTCTTGGAATACATAGACTTGTTACAAAGTGTCTTGGAATACATAGACTTGTTACAAAGTGTCTTGGAATACATAGACTTGTTACAAAGTGTCTTGGAATACATAGACTTGTTACAAAGTGTCTTGGAATACATAGACTTGTTACAAAGTGTCTTGGAATACATAGACTTGTTACAAAGTGTCTTGGAATACACAGACTTGTTACAAAGTGTCTTGGAATACACAGACTTGTTACAAAGTGTCTTGGAATACACAGACTTGTTACAAAGTGTCTTGGAATACACAGACTTGTTACAAAGTGTCTTGGAATACATAGACTTGTTACAAAGTGTCTTGGAATACATAGACTTGTTACAAAGTATCTCAGAATGTGTAAAGTTGCTACAAGGTGCCTTGAAATATGTAGAGTTGCTACCATGTGTCTTGGAACATGTAGAGTTCTACGAAGTTTCTTGGAATGTGTGAGTTGGTACAAGTTATCTTAAAATGTGGAGAGTTATTGCCAAGTATCTTGATAGAGTTGCTACAAAGTGTCTTCGAGTATGTAGAGTGCTACATAGTGTCTTGCAAGTTGTAGTATGATCATAGAAGTGTGAACTTTCCTACAGTTATTTGATATGAAGCATGGTTACACTTACTTGTCTTCTGGAAATAATTGTAAATTAGGCCCAATAACTTTTGAAATTTAACTTTATATCATGGGCTATATGATTATGATGCCACGGACAGTTATATCAGTGTGAAATTTCAGGAAGTGTTCTTTTTCTGCATGAAATGTTATTATTTAGTTTACTAATCTTGATAAGTACTCGATGCCAACATATTCATGTGGCACAGTTATATTATCTTCACATAAAATACATAAATAATACTAAATGTACTTCTGCAGGGTCCCTGAAAGTCTGTTGTTTCAAAAGTAAATAAAACTAAAATTAAGAGTAACAAATATTTTTATTTCATGCTTTTCAAGTCACATATGATGCTGAATTGTAACCCTCAGAGTGCATAATTCTTCTTGTGAGTCATGGCTTATGCATATTTTACTGATATCATGACAGTACAAATTGCAATGTTAAGCATCCCTTATGTGACATTATTTTAGTGTCTACTGACTGAATGACAGACATCACACTACTGTATAGTGGTTAAAATAGGCGACCCCTCCAAGGAGCCAAAGGCTCCTTTTTGGGAAAAAAATCTAAAATAGATTCAACATCTAGGCTTGTCAGATGAAAACAAACTATTGTAGAAGTGTTACACTTGGATCACCACAACAAAGAAAAGCATATCAGTAGAGCACAGGAGGACATACGTGGACAGAGAATGTTAATAATCATATTAGATTAGCACAGAAAGACATACGTGGACAGAGAATGTTAATAATCATAGTAGATTAACACAGAAAGACACATGTGGACAGAGAATATTAATAATCATATTAGATAAACACAGAAAGACACACGTGGACAGAGAATATTAATAATCATATTAGATAAACACAGAAAGACACACGTGGACAGAGAATATTAATAATCATATT